TGATTGAATAATAAAAAAACAAAATTACCTTCATACTAACAAAGATGAAGTATTAAAAACATAAAATGATCTAAGTGTCTGATAACAAAGAAAACTTTATCTACAGTTGTTTTCCTTCTGGTTTCCAAGCATTGCTTCAAATGAAAATGTTTCCTTTTTTCTTTTTACCTTTTTTCTCTCCAGATTTTTATTGTAATATCAATCAAGTTGTCTACTAACTCTTGTCTTCTGTGTTTTTTTGTTTTGTGTTTTTTGCCTTTGCTTGCTCTGTATTAAAGAAACAAAGATTTCAGGCATAGGTAAGGAGTGTTAATCTTCTTTAACATTTATCATGCTCTTTATTCTAGGAAAAGTTTATGTTTAAATACCAGATTTCAACTGTGTTCAAAATGTTCATTCCTTCAAACACTCACTGGTTGTGGTCATTGTATAGTGAACTATAAAGGTCAGGAGTTTTTCTTTTCAGACACTAACTGCATGTATGCCAGGGCCAGTTTAAGYTTCTGAATTCAGAAACTGAGTTTATCTTTAAAATTCATTTTGAAGAGGTTTCTAAAAATATCTTAAGAAATGGGTTTAGAAAATAATAAACTTGGGATTGTTGTCTGCTTTCAGTCTGGCATTAGCCAAACACCTGTGACCTCATATGTAAAAGTTTTCAGCTTTCATACTGAAAGTTGGCATACGGATCAAACTGAAAAGATTTTTGCCTTCCCTTTTCTTTATAACATCCCAACAATAGCCTATATGCCACGGACATCCAGTCCAGCACTTGGAGCCATGCCAATCACTTCTGGTTCACGGTCAACACAGTGTTAGTGAAACATTTTTTCAACCGACAACGACTCTTAATGATCTCCACAGTACAGAATTAACATATTACATGTACCAACATTAACACAGGAGACGTACAGGTCCAGCCAAGTGGAAAAAAATCACTCCAAAGTTGATTAAAGACATAAAAACAAAGGAAAGACGTTCGTGTTTATGGTTCCAGAATTTAGCCTTTTTCGCTATTCTGTGGCTGCTTGTTCCGTGAACTTTTCACGTAGAGTTGTGA